CCTGTGCACATTTAAATCAATTTAGCCTGCATAACATTATAATGTAAAATGCAAACAATCTGAAATCATGATAACTGTTGTTGTTACTGTAATCATCTGTAATTGTAGTATTAATATCAGAATTAGCTCATCAACTGGAAGTTGCTGACTTTTGATGACTGAATTGCCACTTTTCTCTGGTCTGTGTCGTTGTAACTCTAACCTTTAAGACTTTATTTTCTGACAGTCAAGCATTATAAGCAGCAGTTTGATGATACAGTCTTTATGAAATTTCTAAAAAATAAATGATCTTGAATCATAGTATGTGCAAGCTGTAGGGAGGGCTGAACGATTTGGGGAAAATATCTAATTGTAATTTTTCTGACAAATATTGCAATATCGATTGAAATGCAGTTATCTTCTATAAATTAATATAAATTGAGGTGCTTGAACACTGAGTGAGCAAGACTACTATTTAGTGGTTATGACATGTGTCCCTGATGCAGCACTGAACAGAGGTTTTCTGACAGGGGCAGAAGTGACCAAAAAAAAACAAACAAACAAAAAAAAACACAGAAAAAGCACAAGAAACAAAACAAGAGTTAAAATTGTAATGACTGTTTAAGTAGAGTTCCCAAACATTTTCATTGGGTTTTCATTACTACCCTAGTCAGGTTGATAACAATAATCACATGCAGCTCTTTGTACTTCTATCAAAAGCTAACATCTTTCACCTTCACTGTTACTGCCAGATTAGCGTGTTAAATAAGCTCAGTAATACAATAGTGACCACTACTAAGTAACGTTTGATATTGGTATTGAACTTAACAGATGCACCATCACATTAAATTTCTAAGATCAATGTACCTAAACTCATTAAAGGGGTTAACCAGAGTTGCCAGGTCCAGCAAAACTCTCCAGCCCAAAGTGTACTTACAACCTTCCTGCCAGAGGCTGAAACTAGCTCAAAATTTAAAGTATTCAACGGCAAAAGAAATTGTAAATTGTATAAATGCAATACTAAGCAAAATTCTCAATGATATGTATTATATGTAAATCTATTGATCTGGGCAGTAAATGTTATTATTAAAAAAACATTAAATACAAACACACAAATAAAGAATACATTATTTTTAATCATTTAATACCATCCAATGCATAGAGTGAACCTCACATGGCTCCCTACTCCCTACATAATGCACAACACAGGCCTTAACTTATAGCTCCTGCACTCAAACACTGCATACACTGTCTAACAAACAGATACTGGTGATTCAACACCTGCACACAATTCACTACAGGACATTCACTACACTCACTACAGGACGTCAAAACTCCACAATTCACATAGTGCACTATATAGACAGGAGGCAGCCATCAGAGATTCAGCACTAGTTTATCTAATCAATCCTTCATTTAATTTAAATCAGGAGTGCTGGAATTTAACAAATCCATTCTGAAGTGCAGTGAGAAATCAGGATTCAGAACTGTTTTCTTCTAACCAGCATATTAATAACCAGCAAAAACACTTTTATTGCCAAGATGAATTGTTTTAAACATTTTCTAGGCTGCCTGTGACTTTTGCACAGTAGTTTATTTAAGGTACTTTACTGCAGAGATTTTTTCACTGAACACTGAATATTATAACTTGTCCAAATACTCCTGACAAACGTCAGTAAACTTTTAGGTTTCTCTTTTGTTTCTGTTTGCATTTACTAGCTAGCTAACGTTTACTGCTTCTCTCTCTCTCTCTCTCTCTCTCTCTCTCTCTCTCTCTCTCTCTCTCTCTCTCTCTCTCTGACTCTCTACTTCCTGTGCCGGTTCTCCCTCATGTTTGTGAATAACTCTCTCTCTCTCTGGATACAGTGGATACAGTTTTACACTTCTGTACAGTGAACCCCTGGGACGTGAGGCAGCCGATCAGCTCAGGGAAAGGGGGGACAGACAGTTAGTTCAGCACCAACATTCCCAGCTTACCATAGGATTCTCTGTCCCAGATCTGCACCTTTTTCAAACAGGAAAACTAATTAACCAAAGGCTCAACTAAACAGGTAAGTTTTTAGCCTAGACTTAAAGATGGAGGTCTGAGTCCCGAACACTGACTGGTAGGTTATTCCAAAGCTGGGGGGCATTGTATGAAAAGGCTCTTCCCCCTAATGTAACTTTATTAATTCTAGGTACTAATAATGAGCCCGCACCTTGTGATCTAAGTGGGCGTGTCGGTTGATAGTAGGAAATAAGGTCACTGAGGTACTGAGGAGCAAGGCCATTCAAAGCTTTATATGTCAGTAGAAGAATTTTGTACTCAATGTGGAATTTAACTGGCAACCAATGTACACGGCACACAAGGTACACAAAATTGGGCTAATGTGGTCAAATTTCCAGGTTTGGTGAGAACTCTGGCTGCAGCGTTCTGGACTAACTGAAGCTTGTTAAGGTTTTGGCTGGAACAACCAGAAAGCAGAGCGTTACAGTAATCTAACCTGGATGTGATAAAGATGTGAACTAATGTTTCTGCATCCTGTAGCAACAATGCCTTTCTTAATTTAGCGATGTTACACAGGTGGAGGAAAGCTATTCTGGTAATATTGGTAATATGCTCATCGAAGGCCAGACTGGGATCGATCGTGACACCAAGGCTTGTTACAGATGTGCCTGGTGCAATTGAGAAACTATTGAGATTAAGAGTAAACGTAGGCAGATTATTCCTAGCAGCTTTTGGACCCAGAAGAAGAACTTCTGTTTTGTCTGAGTTTAGAAAGAGGAAGTTACTTGACATCCAGTCTTTAATGTCTTTGACACAGTCCTCTATCTTATTAAGTTCAATTTTGTCCTCTGGTTTAGCTGAAATATACAATTGTGTATCATCGGCGTAGCAGTAGAAACTGATGCCATGTTTTCTAATGATGGTACCTAGTAGTAGCATATATAAGGTAAATAATATGGGTCCTAAGACAGAGCCCTGTGGAACACCATACTTTACTCTTGTGAGAGCTGATAGTTCACCATTTACATTAACAAACTCATAGCGATCACTAAGATAAAATTTGAACCATGAAAGAGCTTTACCTGTCACTCCTACTAGTTTTTCAAGCCTGTCTAATAGAATGGAATGGTCTATTGTGTCAAAAGCTGCACTAAGATCAACTAAAGCCAGTAAGGATATGTTTCCTTTGTCAGCGGATAATAAAAGATCATTTACAATTTTCACTAATGCTGTTTCAGTACCATGGTGAGGCCTGAAGCCAGACTGAAATTTTTCATATATATCACTCCTATGCAGATGGGAACGTAATTGTTTTGCCACAGCTTTCTCTAAAATGTTTGATAAAAAGGGAAGATTTGAAATAGGTCTATAGTTTGATAACTCAGAGGGATCAAGACTAGGTTTCTTGATTAAAATTAAAATTAAAATTTTGAGTGAAGCCAAAACAGTCTAAAATAGATACAAATGCCTTACTTAGCGGATCCTGTGGTTTGTCTATGTGGATATTAAAATCTCCAACAATTATTACTTTATTCGAGATTGTTATTAAACTAGATAACAGGTCAGTAAATTCCTGTAAAAACTCAGAGTAAGGCCCGGTGGCCTGTAGATTATGATGAGCGAAAATGAGCTCTCATTTGTTCCTCGATTACTAACATTGAGAAACTGAATTTCAATGGAAGAGAAACTACGGCTTGCTTTCGGGTTTATTCCTAAGGTATTAGTGTAAATGGTTGCTATGCCTCCACCCCGACCGTTTAAGGGAGGACTATGTACATAGCTATAGCCTGTCGGGGTGGCTTCATTTAAACTTAAGTACTCTTCAGGTCTAATCCACATCTCTGTTAGACACAGAGCATCAAAGTCATGATCAGTAATAATTTCATTTGCAACGACGGCTTTAGGTGTGAGAGATCTTATGTTAAGCAGTCCTAGTCCTAGCACCAAAGGTGCGGTCATTGCAGAGTGGTACAACTGGTCTGATATTAATCAAGTTACTAGAGCAAACATTTCGAGGCTTTTTGATGCTTTGTTTTATTCGGGGAACAGACACAGTCTCTATTGGGAGAAACCTATGAGCATTTGTATTTATAGAATAAGTATTTTTATCAGCACTTGCCTTATTTACAGTATAAGTGCTAGTAATCATCTTATTTTCAGTACTACCACTAGGATTATAAGCTGTAGCGTTTCTATTTTTGGCGCCACTTACGTGGCATGGAAAGGAGCCCAAAACACCAAAACACAGCGACTTTCAAATTTGCACTCAGACTACATTTTCAAATGAGCCCACTTTGGCTTGAAAACCGCAAACCTCTCTCTGCTGGCGCTCAGATTCAAGCAACTGATTCTCGATATTCATTGGCTGAACAGACCATAACCACGATTTTGTCCAGTGAACACACACAACTGTCTGCTAAACAGTTTACTAAACTGTCTGCTAATTCTATAATATACCTTTGAGCTGATATTACAATTCACTGCCTATTTTAAAGAGAAGTGTAATGAATTACTGAATGGTTTGACAATTATTTGAATTATTTAAACCTCATTATTTTAATCAAAAATATCCTTTATTACTGATTGTTCTGGTCTGATGCTGTATGCCAGTTGATAATATGGAAATTTATATTAATTTACCATACATTTACTGTTTTAAAACAACAAATTACTGTTACGTTACAATAGGCAATGGAATTGTTATATTATTATTGCCCCATATTTAAAGTAATTTAGAGCAGTTCTGTAAATTAATTTTATAATGTCTTTATTACTTGTAATTACAGCAAAAAGGTTCCGTATTTTTAAATTAACACACACAGAGCAGAAAAAATGTAAAACAACTGCATTGGTCTGTATTTTTACACTGATAACTGTGTTTTTACCCTGTTAACTGTGTTTTTACAATGATAACTACTAAATTAACACTCAAAACTCATGATGGTACAACATGTTAAAAAACTGTGGATTATTATAATTTAAAACAGCAGACTTTGACTGTATTTTTACATCAGATTTATTGAAAAAGGTGTTTTACAAGTATATTCTCTTATCATGAAAAATACAGAAAAAAAACTGTATTTATTTACGGTCAATGTCCGTAAAAAAATATTTTTTTACAGTGTGGCTCAGCCCCAGTCTGGGCCCTTACACATGTGATAATATATGTGTCTTTTCTGTGAGGGGTGGTCCACATTATTTGTTTATTCCCCGGTTTACTGGGGCATTTTTGGGGTATTTTATTGAGCACTACCAGAATGTGAGAAAAATTTTGATCAATACTACAAAAAGTGTTCTGATTCAGAAATCGATGACCTTTGATGAAATATGATTTGTGTAGTTGACTATTTGACCTTCATTAATGAACACAGCTTGTCAATGTTTCATGTACAGAGTCTATTTAATTACTCAGTTGTCATAAAGAGAAGAAAAATTTTACTTTTTGTTCACAAAAAATATTTCTGACAAGACAAAGCATCCAGTTACAAAGAGTGAAATGTTAATCAGATCAACCTGAAAAGCTTTTCAGACAATGATCTTTTTGCTTAGCAAAGCTGAGACAGAGACAACATTATTTTTGTTATATTAGTTTATATATTAGTTTTGTGAGACTGATTTAATATCTGGTTCAGTAATAAGGAGAATGAGAAGGAAAATGTCTTGTCACTGCTGACATGGTCACAACCACCACGATGATGGCGATTATGATGGTGAGAATAATCAGAGCGAGGGCCCATCCGTTGATACAGCAAGCTGTAGATCCATATGCTCTCGCTCCAGCTAGGTCTCCCACCACCTTCCGGTCTCTGGACTGAAACACACACACAGGTCATAAAAACAGGCTTTAGATACATTACAGCTCTTTACATTGCACATCTCTGTATGAAATGTCAGTAGGGAGAACTGGGTTGGTTGGCAAAGGGTCAATTTCTAGGTCAGTAGAGGGAACTCTCACAAAAAAGTAACATAAAAATGACTGTCCTCTTGACCAACATTCATCCCTTTGGTCAAAAGCCCTGAATGTTACAGTCTGTTGTAGTGCAGATAACCTTTTTATTTCTCTCTATGAAAACCAAAAAGTTAAGTTTTATAGAGAGATATTGAAAATGTATGCATTTTAGCAGAAATGATCTGAAAGCTAACGAAGTGCACTGTAAAGGAAAAGACAAATCTTTACAGCTTTTTTGAGTTAACTGAACATGTTAATTCAGCATCTATATTAATTATGTACTAATTAAGTGGTAATAAAATGTTAAAATGTTAAAGCAAATATTCTTTATATGTATAATTGAAAATAGAACAAAGACAACATATCAAATGTTGAAACTGAGAAATTGTATTGTTTATTGAAAAATATTTGCCCATTTTGAATTTGATGCCAACAACGCATTCCAAAAACGTTGGGACGGGGGCAACAAAAGGCTGGTTAAGTTGTGTAATGCTAAAAAAAAAACACCTGACGGTTAATTGGCAACAGGTCAGTAAAATGATTGGGAATAAAAAGAGTCTTTCAGAAGTAAAGGAGGAGAGTTCACCACTCTGTGAAAGACTGCGCAGGCAAATAGTGCAACAATTCAAAAATAATGTTTCTTAATGTAAAATAGCAAAAAACTTTTGCTTTTCTTCATCTACAGTACATAATATCTTTAAAAGATTCAGAGAATCTGGAGAAAACTCTGTATGCAAGGGACATGGCTGAACACCAGTATTTGCTGGCCGTGATCTTTGCGCCCTCAGGTGGCATTGCATTAAAAACAGAGGAAATTCTCTAGAGGAAATAACTGCATGGGCTCAGGAACACTTCTGAAAACAACATCTGTGAAAACACTTCATTGTTGCATCTACAAATGCAAGTTACAACTCTAAAACGCAAAGAAGAAACCATATATAAACAGGATCCAGAAATGCTGCCATCTTCTCTGGGCCCAAGCTCATTTGAAATGGACTGAGGGGAAGTAAAAAAGTGTCCTGTGGTCTGAAGAATCAACATTTGAAATTATTTTTGGAAATCATGGACACTGTGTCCTCCGGACTAAACTGGCCTGCCTGCCGTCCAGACCTGTCACCACTGAAAACATTTGCCGCATTACAAAATTAAATATATGACAAAGGAGACCCTGAACTGTTGAGCAGCTGAAATTCTATGCTAACCAAGAATGAAAAAACATTTCACTTTTAAAACTACAGCAGTCGGTCTCCTCAGTTCCCAAAAGCTTACAGAGTGTTGTTAAACAAAGAGGTGATGAAACACAGTTGTAAACATGCCTCCGTTTGGAACGCGTTGTTGGCATCAAAATCACAATGGGCATTTATTTTTGGAAAAACAATAAAAATTTGCAGTTTTAACATTTTATTTGTTATCTTTGTACTATTTTCAATGAAATATAGGGTTTAAATGATTTGGACATGACTGCATTTTGTTTTTATTTACATTTTGCACAGGATTGTATACTATTTGCTTTAGAATTTCAAATACTATGACATTTCATTTAGCATGAAAATGAAATGTCAACTGATGTTTTTGATGATGTCTTTAGGGAAATTTGTGACTATCTACTAGAGTAGCTAGAATGCTAACAAATAGTGGTGGAAATGGTATATATTTTGACTCAGTGATTGTCAAATAAAAGAATATAGTGTAGTTTATTAAAAGAAGTGTGCTTAGGCTGCTCTGAATCATAAATTCTTAGTATAATTAATATATCAGTAGTGGAGATCATCACTTAGAGGGACACATCAAATGGTGATTAATGGTTAAGTAATATAAAATAAGGAGTAATCAATGATAAAAATGTAAAGAGCTCTGAGGATGGAGGAACTAAATATGTAAAGGTGACAAAGTGTACAGTAAAGCCCAATGACTATGTTCCATGCAACACTGCACAGAAGAGGAATATGTAATGAGAGATGTGTAAATTAATTAACAGATAATTAATGGAATTAACACATAAGTGCTTCCTATTTCTCATAGTACTTATTTATATGATTAAACACACTTATCAGTTCACCAGCAGTGTGATAAGCAGGAGTACACATTTAATGAGTAAATAAGCTGTGAACTAATGACAAACTAAACTAAGTGTGCTCAATTACTAATTACTAAGTACTTAATCAGTAACTAATGCTTTATGTGCAGTTAATTAATATAAAATAATGAGTATGTAATTACTTATAAGCATATAATTATTCATTCATTGGCGACCCTTTATGTAGTGTTACCAAATATGCATTTAATGTATTAATATATAACAATCTAAAATGTATCAATAGTTTTTAAATATATTGTGTTATATTTCATCACAGCTCCTCTTCTCAACATGTGCAGTAAATCCGCTGTCATATTTATAATTCATACTTTTATTTAAGAATATTTTTTAAATGGTTCCTTTGTAAAAGATACTTTTATATAATAAGTTACTTGTATTAAAAGAAATGTTAATTTATACATCCAAGACTCTAATATATATATATATATATATATATATATATATATATATATATATATAATAAAAAGGAAACATAAAAACTATTAAGGAAAATACAAAATGAAAATATTCTCAAATGTTTGAAGGAAATAAGGAGGAAATAAATCAGCTCTTCATTTTCATAAACACCACACGCTGAGAATCTCTGTTATGCTGTACTCACCTTTATTGAGAAATAAAAGGCCAGCAGCCCCAGGCAGAACGGGTTTCCAAAGTAGAGAGAGGCCATGGACCAAACTATGTAATCCTTAGGATGTTCAGGCATGGAAATCACCACAGTTCTATCTCTTGCACCTCCCTGCAGGGGGAAGTTCTCTGGGGGTCTGTAAGAGCTTTGCATCTCTGTAGCAGTGTGAGTTTTGTGCTACTGGATATGCTGGATATGCAGGTTATGATAAATCTACACTCACGAGCAGCACCCACACTGCTTTCAGGAAATGGGCCTTGTGACATCGATGTGGCTTTATTTTCCCCTTCTGTATCTTTGTTCACTCAAGTACTATACAAACCCAGAAATGCAAATAAAAAAGCAGTGAACGCTAAAGTCAGATTGACCTGTATTTAATTTAAAACAGAAAAAAACATGATATATTATAACTTCATTTCCAAAAAAGTTGGGACGCTGTGCAAAATGTAAATAAAAATAGAATGCAATGATATGCAAATCATGTAAACCATATTTTTAAAGGAAAATACTACAAAGGCAACATATCAAATGTTGAAACTGAGAAATTTTATTGTTTTTTTTTTAAATATATGCCCATTTTGAATTTGATGCCAACAACACGTTCCAAAAACGTTGGGACGGTGGCATGTTTACCACTGTGTTTCATCACCACTTCTTTTAACAACACTCTGTAAGTGTTTGGGGACTGAGGAGACACTGCTATAGTTTTGAAAGTGAAATATTTTCTCATTTTTCTTTGATATAGGATTTCAGCTGCTCAACAGTTCAGGGGCTCATTTGTTGTATTTTTCATTTCATAACCCTCCAATTGTTTTCAGTGGTGACAGGTCTGGACTGCAGACAGGCCAGTTTAGCACCCAGACTCTTTTAATACAGAGCAATGCTGTTGTAATACATGCAGAATGTGGTTTGACACTGTCTTGCTGAAATAAACAAGGCCTTCCCTGAAAAAGACATCATCTGGATGGCAGCATACGTTGCCAAAATGTGTACATATCATTCAGCATTAATGGTACCCTTACAGATGTGCACGTCACCCATGTGCCCCTATACCATCATGAATGCTGGCTCTTGAACTGTGCACTGATAACAAGCTGAGTGGTCTTTAGCCCGGAGGACACAGTGTCCATGATTTCCAAAAAGAATTTCAAATGTTGATTTGTCAGACCACAGGACACTTTTCCATTTCATCTCAGTGTATTTTAAATGCGGTCGGGCCCAGAGAAAGCGGCAGTGTTTCAGGATCCTGTTTTCTTTGCATTTTAGAGTTTTAACTTGCATTTGTAGATGAAGTGAAAAACTATTTTAACAGACAATGGTTTTCAGAAGTGTTTCTGAGCCCATGCAGTGATTTCCTGTACAGATTCATGTTTGTTTTTAATGCAGTGCTGCCTGAGGGCCCAAAGATTACGGCCAGCAAATACTGTTTTTTGGCCTTGTCCCTTGCATACAGAGATTTCTCCAGATTCTCTGAATCTTTTAATGATATTATGTACCGTAGATGATGAAAAGCAAAAGTTTTATGTTGAAAAATGTTATTCTTGAATTATTGCACTATATGCTTGTGTAGTCCTTCACAGAGTGGTGAACCCCTCCCCATCTTTACTTCTGAAAGACTCAGACTCTCTGGGATGCTCTTTTTATATACAATCATGTTACTGACCTGTTGCCAATCAAACAACAGGTGTTTTTTTAGCATTACACAACTTTTCCAGCCTTTTGTTGCCCCATCCCAACTTTTTTGGAATGTGTGGTTGGCATCACATTTAAAATAGGCATATATTTTTCAATAAACAATACAATTTCTCAGTTTCAACATTTGATATGTGTCTTTGTACTATTTTCAAAGAAATATAGGGTTTACATGATTTGCACATCATTGCATTTTGTTTTTATTTGCATTTTGCACAGCGTCCCAACTGTTTTGGAAATGGGGTTGTACTTCTTACCTTATGAACTTATGAACCACATATGATGCCTGCAACAGGAACATTTTTACCACTGTGTTACATTATGTTTGCTTTTAACAATATTTAATAAATGTTTGTGGACACCAACTGATCCAGTTGATATAGGTAATCCAATCTAGCAACCGTACTATGATTATGCAGCCATGCTATTGTTACACCTGCAGAATATTATTTGGCGTGTCTGGTGAAATAAACATGGACATCCCTGAAAAATACAGTGTCTATAAGGCAAAATATGTTGCCCCAAAATGTGTATCTATCTTTCATTGTTCATAGTGCTTTCAGAGATTTGCAAGTTACCCATGCTTGACTGGCCTTTCTGCAGTCCAGAAGTCTCCCATTAATAAATGTGTGTTTTATTAAGCTTAAATGATAACAGCAAAGGCCTTGTGTGGTTGCACAGCTGATGACTTGTATAACTGTGATTATTATTGTATAAATTTATGGTAAACATTTTCCTGTCCCAACTTTTTTGTAGCATGTTGCAGGCATCATATTTTGAAAGAGCAACTATTTACAAAAACCAATAAATTTCATAAGGTAAAACATCAAATATTGTGTTGTTGTACTGTTTTAAATTTAACACAGGCCAAACAGAATTTACTAATCACTGCTTTCTGTTTTTATTTGGATTTCACAAACTGTCCCAACTTTTTGGAATTTGGATTTGAAGTTTTTTTTCCATCTTTGACCCAGAAACATCTGTTTTGACAGTACAGCACAGTTACGATCAGGAATCAAAGGAAATGTCTAGTTAATGCTGAAAATAATGATCAGATCACAGTTATGGAATATACTGCACATTAAAGCATTATTCAGTATTTCAATCAACTGCAAGAGCAGGATGGCTGCACTGAAGTGACAGACAGAATTAGACAAAGATACGGCATGACCCAGTTTCATAGCTTTAGAGGGCTCCTCATTTTGACTCTTTACCACTTAGACAAAAAGGAGTTGCTAACCAATTTACAGTTTATGAGAAATTTGGCAGCAAGTTTTTTTTGTTTGCTTTCTGTACTAAATGTGCATTTATTTCATTCTTCTGAAATATGTGGGTGAGAGAGAACATCGGCTTGTGAAAGTGAGTGTAAGAGAGAGCAGACAAGTTCATGAGTATGACTGCCTGTGAGGTCAGTTTTTCCTCAGCTTTAAATCCCCAGTGGAGCAGCACTTTAGGTTGTGAGTGTGCTCATACAGTTCTCATGAGAGAGCAGCGAAGAGTGAATGTGTATCAAAATGTGTTTACTGAGGCTTTAAAATACAGCCAGAGAGGTATAACACAAAGCAGCACAGCCTCTACTACAGGAGTGACTCCTGACCTCTCTTTCTGTTAGGCAGACTTGACTTTTGACTCATGAGACTCATGCCATTCAGTCTAAGCTCACACTCCCATTTTTACAGAATGACCTACAGATGAATCAAAAGGTTCATAAAGTTTCCTACTACTGCTTAGCTCTGAATGAAAACAGAACTTAACTGTTTTCAGTCTGTCCTCCTCTAAAGGCTTAAATGAAAATGACTCTTTGCATCATCTCACATAATGCGACAGAACAGTATTTTAGGGGTAAGTTAAGCAAAAATCTAATTGTATTAAATATGAGATAATACTTTATACAATAAAATATTTCAATTGTTGGTTTTATATTAAATTGTTGTAGCGTTGCTGTAGAAACAGATCAGATCTGAACATGGTCAAGATATAACTTTGTTTTGTAATATTTGAGATGGAATTTCAGTGACTGTGTATACAGACATTTAAAAAGATTCCTAAATAAATCTAATGTGGTCATTCCTGGGCCAGAAAGAGACCTAAATTTCTTTCTTTCTTCAAATACTGTTGTTAGCAACATGCTGAATTTTAGTGTTTTTGTTCTTTCAACTTTAGCAAAAAAGGACGGTGTCAGAGGCCCCTGATTCAAAAGAGTAATATTTAGCTTCTAAAAGAAAAAAACATACACTTCATATTTCAAAACTCTTGAAATATCTTAGTATTTTTAAAGCAGGTGTGCACTAGATTATGGCATTTATGGGTTGATTATAAAAATAATGAATGGAAAAAATGGGAAATCCTAGCACTCATTTGCCAGAAGGCAGGAAACACCCTGGACAGGTTACCAGTCCAGCACAGGGCAGACACATAGACATACACATTCACACACACACACACACACACACACACACACACACACACACACATACACACACACTCACACACACACACTCACACCTAGGGCCAATTTAGCATCTCCAGTTGGCCTAACTGTATGTCTTTGGACTGTGGGAGGAAACCAGAATGTACATCTTGATGTAAATGATAATATGGATGTAGGTCAGGTGGTCTTAGATCCTGAGGCGCGGAAGAGCTGAGAGAGGTTGAGTTCTCAAACTGAGTTTGTATGTGAGTAGATGTGAGTGGTGTAAGTAGCTGTGTTCAATCTTGGAGGAAGCAGCCACAGCAGATGCTCCTCCCTGAGTATACACATGCACTGTTCTATAAAACAGGAAAAGAGGTTAAAAAAAGAGACCAAATAACATGTTTCCTCTTTAATGCATTTTGTAGCTGCTAGTAAAAAGAAGTATGCAACTGATAGAGACTTTAGTGATTCAAAAGTGTTGAACAGAGGGGGCGAGAGTGTGAGTAACACATTGAGTGAGTCACTGGCGCAAAACAATGAAATCTCCCCCACCAAGCTAAAACAGAGTGTCTGAATGAAATGAAGACACACCACGTGCACAGTGAGCTTGTCTGACAGCCAACAGCCAAAACAAATTTGTGGTAAATATTTTTATGTCCATTAAAAGCAACAGAACCCAGGAATGAAGCACTGGACCTGCACTGCTTTTAAAAATTAACCTACATATCGCCACATGCAGGTCAGACAAAATGTACTTTGCTGTATTTCAGTCACAAAGAGTAGAAAAAAACCTGCTTCTGTAAAGGAAAGGAAACTGAAATATATATGTTGCCTCAGAGACCCAAAATACCACATCACCTAGAAATGAAACTAAAGAAAACACAGAAAGAACACAAAACATTTTTGTATTCTATTATAATGTTATTATGTTCTCTTTTATAGTTGTTGTGTTCTCTTTTAATGATAAACAGTATGAACTGGAAAGGTTTTACAAATAAAAAAAAATGGAAGAACAAAATGATGAATGTTATTTTGTATAAAGAAATGAATTATTGTGACAACATCTATCATTTTCTAGGTGGGGGTCACACATACAAAGTTCAAATGTTTTCAAGTTTTGTACGATGCACTTTAACTAAGTCAAACTAGCCTTTCCGTCCATGTTGGAGGAACTACCAGACACCAAGGAAGCTGAAAACTGGCAAAAAACCCACTGCCACTCTGTTAAACGATGCAGGCAGAAGTTTATTAACGGTACTATTTACAGCCCAATGTTACGATGCAATGACTGTGAGAAAGGTCTATTACAGCTCGTGCACACGCTGCAGGCAGCAGCCCCTCCCCTGTGCACCCTTTCAGGCAATGCATTGGCGAATAAACACCCCTCTTTGCCAACAACAGCATGCACAACAAAGACAAGTAAACAGAAGACAAATATTAATTATGGTGATTGTGGCAAAAGGATTCCATTTTTACTTCATCAGTCCGCAGCACTTGTTTCCAAAATATCTCTGGCTTATCTAGACATTTGCATACTTCAGACTTTTGATTTCTGTACTGATGCCATAGGTAAGATTTTCCTTCTGATGACTCTTCTATGCAGATCATGTTTATACAAGCAACACTGCACAGTAGAATGGTGCACCACCCCTAATATGCCAGCTAAACCTTCCTGCAGATCTGTTATATGGGGATATTGCTTTGCCTTCCAGCCAGTATACAAGCAGTTAAATATGATTGTTTCCTTGTTCTCCCAGATCTTGCCTTGACAGTTTTCTTTAATTGTTATTTCTTAGTGACATCCTTTCAGTCCTTTCAAACTGGCACCTACACAACATCACTGGACAGCTCAGCAGGCTTGGAGGAGACGCTTTTTTCCACTCCTGCCTATGAACGGCTGTGGGATCAGAGTGGATCAAACTTGACAATAACTGTTCTAGTGGCAAAATGGCTACTGGTGTGTTATAGCATAGATTGTCAGTTGTACTTCTCAGATATGTCACAGAGAGGTGTATCACAGTGCACAATAACCTTAATTAGGCTTTGTTTTGGAACCGAAAATCTGCTGTTAGTGTCTTACAAATTGTTAACCCAAGAAGTGGTAAACACAAGTATATAAATAAACAAAAATAATCCAAACTTTGGGGATGCTAAATGATTAGCCCTTTAATGGGCAGCTTAACTGCATGTTAACACACATTTTACATTGTAATTTCATGCATAGGGGATCACAAATCCAATTCCAACTCCAACATTGTTTCATTCATATCATTATTTTTCCACTGAAACTGTTTCAAAAATGCCAAAATATACAGGATTATGATTAATCACACTCTTTTGTCATTGTGTTTTTTGTTTAGGTTACCTCATGTTTTGGGGCTGTTCTCATTCATGTATTCTCTGTTTGTTTTTCTATCTAGTGGGTGCGTTATACTTGTGGTGCGTTATTTTCAGTGTCACTGCTGCTTAATACTAAACAGGCAGCTTGATCAGCCTGTAGATGTTCACAATTTCTGATCTAAGTTGCAAATTACAATTAATTCCAAAACAAATGAAATATTTTTCAGTGTAAAACAAGTTGAAGCAATTAACCCCCAAATGTCTGTTGTAAAGGTATTTTACTGTGCTTATGTTAAAGGATTAAATTTAAGTTTTAGCTTTGTGATTGGTCACATCTTTCACTCTGGAGCTTTATCATTTTATATTAGAGCTCACTGAAGCGGAAAGGTTCATAAAAAAGGGAACAACAAAGCCTGACAAAACATCTGTGTCTGTGGTCTAAGTAATCAGTGTTTTACTGGGTACTGTTGCATGTAAAGATACATGCAATGATACAGAAGGAACAATATGTGGTGAAGCTGCTCTACCCACCTCTGAAAAACACATAGACACTATAAAACCCTTACTACAGGAACAGAACAAGTCATTTCTCAAGAATTCATCCTGTGGTTAAAACATTTATGCGGTTTTGTGCAGAACATGACCAGGTGGGTGGTGATGGTTGTTATATAGTGACGCGGTTCCTGTTTTTTTTAAGTAAGTTTTGTTTAAGTAAGTAAACACCTGGCTTATAAAAACTTTTTATATATTTTCTACACACAAACAGTTCTCTTTACCACAGTATAAAAATGTTTAAACCTTTTTGATTGATCATAATTTCTGCAAGATTTGTGCCTCTATATCTCATATTTATGCATCTCACTGATGAAAACCCGTTTGTGAACCTTTAGAACAGTGATGAATAAGACAGATTCAGGGGTCAAATACACACATTCAATTGACTAAAATTTAAAGCTGCTGAAGAATTTCTTGGGCCACCATCAGTCCACAGTCAGGCAAACAGATTACAGGTGAAATTCAGCATTGTTGCTACTTTCCCAGCAGTGCAAATCAATAATAAAGAGCTCTGGAGTCCCAACTAAAGATCTCCGCAGGCTTCTCAGGTCTGTGCGAGTCACCACAGAGGAAACCGCAGTTCCATCCAAACAATTCTATAAATACACCTGCACCGCTGCTCATTTCTTTGTTTATTTATCAGCGACAGAACTGTGCAGAAGTTTTGAAAAGTTTGCAGCTGCTACTTTTTATTTAGCATTAGGATTTAGACATCAACAAAATGTGCGCTGATTCTGCAGTGTTGATTGTCGTATAAACAAAATTGTTTACTAACTAAACAAAAGAAGAGTGAAAATATGGTTTGTAAGAGAAATAAAAATAAATGTCAAAATCTGAGATGTTTCCCTAAAGATGTCATTATTAAAGTCCTCTGCACACTTCCTCTCTCTCTCAAAATCAACAGCTCTTCTACACGTCTCCTCTCTAATGTCCTGCTAACACAGAAACATTTTATCTACAGCTTTTATATATTTTGAAAGCTAAATATTCATTCTGTAAATTCAGTAGTATTCATTCATTCTTCTCACCAGTAACCAAACAAGAAACAATATTTTAAGTATAAAATATCACTAAAGCAAAGCTTTCCGTCTTGGTGATTTTGTGCCCTGGTAAACCTGGAGGTCTGCAGCCTGACCCGAGCCTGACGAGGACGAGAAAATATTAGGTAAACATTTTTTCATGTACAGCGTCGAGCCCAGCTTGGACTGGTTTTAGAATGAGTGATTTTTATCTACACTGTAAAAACTAATTTGGAGTTTTAACTTAACTTAAAATAGTAAATAACCTGCCTTCATTTTTACTTTATTGTACTCCAAGTAATGAGTGAACACAATGTAACACTCATTGTTCTGTTCACTCACTATTTGATGTTCAATGAACTAAACATTGTAAAACAGGCTGTTTATTCACTTGTATAAGTTAAGATGATTATTGTTTTACAGTGGAGAAGATTTGCTTTTTTACAGAAATGTCAGGCACTTGGGCATTTTTTCACTTGCCCTGTCTATCACCCATCTTTCTCTCTCTAGTGCACAACTCTCTCTTTCTCTCTGTCTATCTCTTTGTCTCTCTAACGCACTACGCCCACTCTCTATCTCTCTCTCCCTCTCTCTGTTGTACTACGCTTTCACTCTCTCCCTCTATCACAGTACTCTCTGTCTCTGTTGTACTATGCTCCCTCTCTCTGTATCGTAATACACACTGTCTCTCTTTCTCTCTTTCTCTCTCTCCCTCTTAAATCCAGCAGAAGCTTACACAGTTAACACAGGGTCCCTTCTAGTCTTAGATTTATGACTTGAAGTCTTGATAAACTCCTCATGTAACTCGACATGTAACAGGCTAATTCAGTAACATTCAGAATTAGATCTTAAGTTGCACTGATTACTGAAAGAATCAGGGTAAAACTATGATGTACAAAGTAAAAAATGATACCTGAATGTCAGATAAAAGCTTCAAATGTCTGTGTGTGGGCCAGAGCTGAGTAGTATTAAACCCATTAGCTCAATGCTAAATGAACATGGAAAAAGTCACTGGGTTGCTATCAGAAATTAGCATTATTGTAGTTGTAAATAAACAAACAGCGCAGACTTCCACAATAAACACTGTTATACAATCATCTATGTGTCTGACAGACATTTATGATTATATGAATAAAAAATTAAAGTTTGAGGAATTATTAGTAAATCCCATTCTTCATTGTATGTTGGAGTATTTCACAGCTCTCTATAAAGGATTCACTGCTCTTGAGGTTTTTAACCTCAGTCCTCACTGCAAATAGACCTGTGTGATAATTATACACACAGTAAGCTTGTGGAGCGGTTTGAGTTTTAGTGATGTTTTATTGCACATGTTGTGCATATATAACCACCTACAGAGCACTGCTATTTAAAGCTGCCTTAAACATGCCATTTAAAGCCTTTAATGTGGACGGCTTTTAATTTTCAAGGATTCGTTTTTTCTAACTTTGTTTGACTAAAGATGCACTTGCAGACCTCAGTTCTCTAAGTGTCTGCAGAGTGTTGTAGGAGATTGGTGGAGAACTGATAGAGAAGTTCTAGTCATTTAAAAGAACCTCATCAGGTGGCAAACATTCAACAAGACTGGAGAGCCAAGAAGGATTTTATTACACTTTTATTTTTATGTTTGAAAACATTTCTTTAACAATAATTATATTATTCTAATATGTTCTAATCTGTATTGTTCTAATAATGTATTTCCTGTATCTCTACACTCTATCTAAGCTGCTCATCCTTCTGGGTCATAGGGGGGAACGATGGAGCCTATGCCAGCGGGATATTAGGCAGAAGGCAGGAAACACCCTGGACAGGTCAGCGGTCCATAACAGGGCAGACACACAGACATATACACTCACACCTAGGGGCATGTTCGCTTGTCCAATTGGCCTGACTCCATGTCTTTGGACTGTGGGAGGAAACCCACGCAGACACAGGGAGAGCATACAAATGCCACAAAGAAAGGGCGCTGGTGGCCCAATTTCTGCTCTCTTCATCATGTATCGTTCTGCGTCTGCAGCATAATTGAACAGTTTATACCTTTGCTATGAATTCTGGGTAATGTAGATCCTGGCTATCTAGGGTCTTTCTTGAGGAAGAACCGTTCTTTAAAGAGAACTTTTGTTTTCTTAAACGTTGATTTAAATGTATTGGATCTATGTCATTGAGGATTGAGGGTTGTTTGACAACGAAGAACTGACGTGCGTGAGAGAACTTTATTACAGTCAGGGAAAATTACAAACAGGCCGTGGTAACCAGAATAAAGGCAATATCCAGTAAAGCATAAAAACCAGGAGACAAGCAGAAGGTCAAAGATCACAAAAACACCAAGAACAATGAGTAACAAGGCTTAGAATTGCAAAGAAAGATCTGGAAAGACTTCACAAAGACCCTAACAAAATACAGGACATACAGAGAGAGTAATGATAAAACAAGCTTCAGGTGAGCAGCCAGCAATTACAACTCAGAAGAGAGTGACCTCTGCAGACGAGGAGAGGAATCTCCAGCCTAGAATGTGACACGTTGCAAATTGGCAAGAAATTACTTTGTACTGAGAGTGATAGTTTCATGTACCCCTGTGATGTCATCTATTGCTGAGTCTCTAATGTTGCCTTCTTACCCTTATATTCAGTACACCACTCGCTTCAGTGTATGTACAGTTCAGGTTAAACCACTTCCTGCTCAAATGTGTCTACTGCTGTTTTTAAGTCTGACCTGGTAGCAGCAGCAGCAGCAGCTGTAACTCAGCTTGCTGAACATTTGGTCATGAGAAGGTACCATGATACACAGCTCTATTTGAGCTTTTAGCTTGCAGCTGGCATACTCTACCTGAGAGCAGGTATTCACATAAGATTTACCTTCTTCTTCTAGTTCTTGTTCATTTAAATCAAAGAAACAACTGTTAACCCCCTAAACTGCAGCCTTATTTTTATAATAATATTCATACATTTTTCATTAACTACTATGAATCTATTACATAAGTTATGTAGTTATGAAAGTGAGAAACTATTGACCCATATACAGGCCCTTACAGTTTATAGGTTAGTACACACAAAGACAGAGAGAGAGAGAGAGAGAGAGAGAGAGAGAGAGAGTGAGAGAGAGAGAGAGATAACCGTGCTGTTGTTTCTCACCTTGATGGAGTAGATGAGGGCTATGAGGCCCAGGCAGCAGAAGTTGATGTACAAGGTGCTGCAGAGGGACCAGACCAGGTAGTCATTGGGGGGGCTTTTCCCCCGCAGCGTCCATATTAACCAAAGTGGAGACGGCTGGCTTGCGAGCAGACTTGCAGCTCATGAGACCTTAGTGGACCGGGAGCACTGATTTCACTGCAGCCCTGGAAACCCTGATTCCAGCTTTTATATGTGGAGAGAGAGAGAGAAAGAGAGAGAGAGAGAGAGAGAGAGAGAGAGAGAGAGAGAGAGAGAGGTCTGTTATTATATGGAGAACAGGGCAGGGTGCTGCTCCCCTGCACACTGAGCTGATTCTGCTACAGAATTTTATTCATCAGAAATATTAACTGTGCTGCAGCATCTCACCTTCATTCCTGATCTTTAAATAAAACATTTAGTCCAATCACAATTTAGTTCAACAATATAATTGGTTTAGTCAAACTACTGTTTTACATCAAAATGTGGACACTAAAAATCTAAATATTGCTTTTTTTTCTGAAGAGTCAGTCCTAACAAGTTCATTAACTTAAAATGCCAGTAAAAAAGGGCCAAAACATGATATTTGATCTTTTACCTTATAAACTTTATTGTTTTCTTGTATCATATATTGTCTTTTTAAATATGATGTCTACGACACATTCCTAAAAAGATGGAACAGAGCATGTTTAGCTCTATGTTACATCACCTTTACTTTTAACAACACTTAACTTGGGGAATGAAGACACCAACTGATTCCGTTTTGAAAGTGGAATTTTTCCCATTGTTCCCTTTTAAAAAAGATGGTTCTTCAAGGGTTCTTCAGTAAAGAGATTGGTTTATATATATAATTAATGCTAAAATTCCTTACAGTTGCTAGCTATTTTGTGATTCTGAACCTGTAACCCAATTTCACTAATTGAGATTATTATTGAGTTGATCTTTGATTAATTATTTTATTATTTTTCTAAAAATATCATAACATTAGTAAATCCATATGTTCCCTTGAATCATGCTTAAACCTCATATAGTTTTTATTTTGAGTTATCATGTTTTCTTTCCCTTAGAAGCACAACTGTGTAAGTCTGTAACTTTGGATGACTATATTCATGGAAAATGCCATACTTCAAGCATAATAGAGGTTCTGCCATAAATATCTACAGAAATATCAATAGCAACTAGATAATGTACTGAGCATATCCTTTACTCTATACTATGTAACTTCTTTCCAGTTAAGCATTGTTTGTGTGATTAACTTTGTAATTATGTTCTTTTCCTAAGAAATGTCATCTCCTCTTTCTAGTAATCATGTTTCTTTCAGATGTAAGATTGTGAGAGGTTTCAAGTAGCTTTATGTAACCATAGTGTGAAATTAGAATACTTTTCTAGTAATAAGTGACCCTTTATTAAAGATATCACTTGCTTGATTGTGTGTATAATTATCACAGTCTGATCGATTGATCACTGTCCAGGAAAACCCTAACCTGAGATGAACCTAAAGTAGGTTGTGTTTATGGACTTAGGGGGAAATTGACCACTGAGTGGCCTTCTCCCACTACAGTTTGTGTGTATGTTTTTTTCAACATATTATTTCTATTACTGTTTATTTTTTGTTGTTTTTGTATTTAACTCATATTTTATACTCTCTTTTGTATATTTACATAAATGTGTATGCTAATGGCACCTTTTGGAGATGCAACACAATTTCATTGTTCACTAACAATGAAAAGAAATGACTTGACTAATATCAACATGAAGCCCCTCAGTATGAGAGGCCATTTAGGCCAAAATTCTAACTTACCTCTCACACCCACTTTTAAACCTCTCACACTCACTATCAAACTCGCTCGCACTCACTATCAAACTCTCTCACACTCACTATCAAACTCTCACACTCACTATCAAACTCGCTCGCACTCACTATCAAACTCGCTCACACTCACTATCAAACTCTCACACTCACTATCAAACTCGCTCGCACTATCAAACTCGCTCACACTCACTATCAAACTCTCACACTCACTATCAAACTCGCTCGCACTCATTATCAAACCCTCTCACACTCACTATCAAACTCGCTCACACTCACTATCAAACTCTCTCACACTATCAAACTCGCTCGCACTCACTATCAAACTCTCACACTCACTATCAAACTCGCTCACACTCACTATCAAACTCTCTCACACTATCAAACTCACTCGCACTCACTATCAAACTCTCTCACACTCACTACCAAACTCTCTCACACTCACTATCAAACTCTCACACTCACTATCAAACTCGCTCGCACTCACTATCAAACTCTCTCACACTCGCTATCAAACCTCTCACACTCACTATCAAACTCTCTCACACTCGCTATCAAACCTCTCACACTTGCTATCAAACTCGCTCACACTCACTATCAAACTCTCTCACACTCGCTATCAAACCTCTCACACTCACTATCAAACTCGCTCGCACTCACTATCAAACTCTCTCACACTCGCTATCAAACCTCTCACACTCACTATCAAACTCTCTCACACTCGCTATCAAACCTCTCACACTCGCTATCAAACTCGCTCACACTCACTATCATACTCTCTCACACTCGCTATCAAACCTCTCACACTCACTATCAAACTTGCTCGCACTCACTATCAAACTCTCTCACACTCACTATCAAACTCGCTCACACTCACTATCAAACTCTCTCACACTCACTATCAAACTCGCTCACACTCACTATCAAACTCTCTCACACTCACTATCAAACTCTCTCACACTCACTATCAAACTCTCTCACACTCGCTATCAAACTCTCTCACACTTGCTATCAAACTGTAAGGCATTCTTGATAGTGAGTGTGAGAGAGCTTGATAGAGTGTATGAGAGAACTTGATGGTCACGTTTTCTGATTGGCCTAGAGAGTTATCATTTAAATTAGCAGTTTCTGATTCGCTCATAGTCAAATATTTTTATTTCAAATATTTTATTTATCCAAATGTAAAAAGTTCTATCACTTTAACGTGAAATAAATGTGCAGAGGGCACGTGTGGTCACAGAAGCTCAAAAATCAGGCGATCGTGGTCAAAAATTGATAAAGACAGAAAAGATCGAGTGTTGAGAGGATAGCCTAGTCCGGCATTTGGGGAGGCAACATTACGTTTAATAGGTGTTTGTATATTTAGTGCAGCTATTCTATCAGCAAAAAACTGAAAATGATGTGGGGAAGAGACTCTACAGGACTCCCGCCACTTAACAGCAAAATCAAAGAGGAATGGACGTCACTCCGCCCAGTAATGATGAGATAAGTTAATTGTAATGTCGCGTCGTCTGATGTGAACTTCGTCATAGTGACTGTGTTACAGCTCCAGACCTAACAATTAAAGCTGTGAGCTGTGCGCTGTCCTGTGTTCATATTGTTCATATAATACTGTGGCGGCTCCGCTTTTGTGAAGGTGCTTTAGAGGCGCGTCATGCAGAGCTACTATTATTATTAATATTATTATTAAGCTTAAATGATAACAGCAAAGGCCTTGTGTGGTTGCACAGCTGATGACTTGTATAACTGTGATTATTATTGTATAAATTTATGGTAAACATTTTCCTGTCCCAACTTTTTTGTAGCATGTTGCAGGCATCATATTTTGAAAGAGCAACTATTTACAAAAACCAATAAATTTCATAAGGTAAAACATCAAATATTGTGTTGTTGTACTGTTTTAAATTTAACACAGGCCAAACAGAATTTACTAATCACTGCTTTCTGTTTTTATTTGGATTTCACAAACTGTCCCAACTTTTTTGGAATTTGGATTTGAAGTTTTTTTTCCATCTTTGACCCAGAATTAAGAAACATCTGTTTTGACAGTACAGCACAGTTACGATCAGGAATCAAAGGAAATGTCTAGTTAATGCTGAAAATAATGATCAGATCACAGTTATGGAATATACTGCACATTAAAGCATTATTCAGTATTTCATTCAACTGCAAGAGCAGGATGGCTGCACTGAAGTGACAGACAGAATTAGACAAAGATACGGCATGACCCAGTTTCATAGCTTTAGAGGGCTCCTCATTTTGACTCTTTAACCACTTAGACAAAAAGGAGTTGCTAACCAATTTACAGTTTATGAGAAATTTGGCAGCAAGTTTTTTTTGTTTGCTTTCTGTACTAAATGTGCATTTATTTCATTCTTCTGAAATATGTGGGTGAGAGAGAACATTGGCTTGTGAAAGTGAGTGTAAGAGAGAGCAGACAAGTTCATGAGTATGACTGCCTGTGAGGTCAGTTTTTCCTCAGCTTTAAATCCCCAGTGGAGCAGCACTTTAGGTTGTGAGTGTGCTCATACAGTTCTCATGAGAGAGCAGCGAAGAGTGAATGTGTATCACAATGTCTTTACTGAGGCTTTAAAATACAGCCAGAGAGGTATAACACAAAGCAGCACAGCCTCTACTACAGGAGTGACTCCTGACCTCTCTTTCTGTTAGGCAGACTTGACTTTTGACTCATGAGACTCATGCCATTCAGTCTAAGCTCACACTCCCATTTTTACAGAATGACCTACAGATGAATCAAAAGGTTCATAAAGTTTCCTACTACTGCTTAGCTCTGAATGAAAACAGAACTTAACTGTTTTTAGTCTGTCCTCCTCTAAAGGCTTAAATGAAAATGACTCTTTGCATCATCTCACATAATGCGACAGAACAGTATTTTAGGGGTAAGTTAAGCAAAAATCTAATTGTATTAAATATGAGATAATACTTTATACAATAAAATATTTCAATTGTTGGTTTTATATTAAATTGTTGTAGCGTTGCTGTAGAAACAGATCAGATCTGAACATGGTCAAGATATAACTTTGTTTTGTAATATTTGAGATGGAATTTCAGTGACTGTGTATACAGACATTTAAAAAGATTCCTAAATAAATCTAATGTGGTCATTCCTGGGCCAGAAAGAGACCTAAATTTCTTTCTTTCTTCAAATACTGTTGTTAGCAACATGCTGAATTTTAGTGTTTTTGTTCTTTCACCTTTAGCAAAAAAGGACGGGGTCAGAGGCCCCTGATTCAAAAGAGTAATATTTAGCTTCTAAAAGAAAAAAACATACACTTCATATTTCAAAACTCTTGAAATATCTTAGTATTTTTAAAGCAGGTGTGCACTAGATTATGGCATTTATGGGTTGATTATAAAAATAATGAATGGAAAAAAT